CCTTATATCGAACACAAAGTGTGTCATAGAGCTAAGTATTTCGAATGATTTGCATTGCCGCTAAGGTACGCTTTTTCTGAGACTTGCATAGTTTCTTTGACATTCCTTGGTTTTGCATGTTCAGTGTGATGTACTTAGAACCGAGTATGCTTAATCATAAGTAATGAGAGAAGAATGCGAATATACAGAATAACTCGACTTACGCGACTTTCAAATCTCATCGATTCGTCTTTTGTTTGAGTGCTACACGACTCGATTACTCACTCCCTGCTTGTTGTTGAGTGCGTTGTGATTGAAGAAGTTATCGATCTTGTCAGGTTGACTGTGGTAGCCTTGTGGTCAAGGTAATAGACTCGTGGCTAGCGTGTCATGAGTTCGAACCTAGTACCGCTGAAGATCTACCGTGGAGGGAGGGGGGGAGGGCGATTCACGTTAAATCTGTCGAGAGCTCAAACGTCCTCCAGTTGGTGTAGTGTGGTAGTTAGCAGAGGGATTGCCAGCCCAGGTGTCGTCCTCGTCACATAACCATGGTTCAAAATTACGAGACCCGTCACCGAAAGCCCTCGAGTGAGTGAGTGAGTGAGTGAATATTAACGTCGCACTGTTCAGCTACACGAGGGCTTTTGGCGACGGACCTCGAAATTTTGAACCATGGTCAAGTGACGAGGACGACACCTGAGCTGGCAATCCCTCTGCTAAGTACCACACTACACCAACTGGAGGACGTTTGAGCTCTCGACAGGTTTGGAGTGCATCGCTCTCCTATACGGCGGATCTTTAGTGGTAGCGGGCTCGTACTCGTGACATGCCAGCCACGATCCGATACCTTAACCACTCGGCTACAGCGGCCCTCGAGTGGCTGAACAGTGCGACGTATTCACTCACTCACTCATCGATCTTGTCAGGCAAATAAATTTAGGAGTGGATAGTGATGACGTTCAAAATTGCTGGATTTCCACAATCAGGAGTTGGCCATTGATGAGCTCATAGAAACGCAAGAGCAAGACATTGAAGAACATTAGTCTTTAGAGTCAGTTCAATCGGAAGATCAAATGACGGTTGAGAGTATGAGAGAAAGTATGATTGAAAAAGGGTTATGCATTTAGAAAATATAGACTCTAACGAAGAGCGAATTTTTTTCAACAAAACAAGGGGGGGGGGATTATTAGCATGCTACGAGGAAATTTTGGGGCGAAAAAAAAATCTTTTAGTTGGCAGACTACTTAGTTGGATTTTATGTGTGTGAAGCCTCCTACTTCAAAATAACTTCTGCTTAAGGTTATATATAGAGAGAGTCGACTCTTGATAATTCGAAGTTTGGAGGGACCAATGAAAAACTTCGATTTATCAAGAGAGTAGAAAAAACTCCCAAGATGCTGGGAAAAAATTTTTCGAACACATTTAAATTTGAAACTTTGTAATAAAACAACAGTTTTACATATGTATAAAATTATTTTAAAATAGTTTTTAAAAAGCACAGATTATACAATTTAAATATTATACAAGAAGTTAAGAGTCCTGTATTAAACGAATACATCCATACACAATCCTACGCGTCTCCTTCATAATAGTGGAACATCCTTTCTGAACACATGTATTGCAAGGCCACGTGTTAAACGAAAGATATGGACTGCTGACAAGAGGTGCGGTTGGTCTATTGTTCACTTGAAGAAGGAAAGAAATAAAAGTGTATTTTCGTCTGATGAACCGGAAAACACTAAGAAGAGGTAACCGACAGATGGTCTTTAAAGGGGTTACGTTACAGGGGAGACACGCAGAGACAAAACAACACGAAACTTGTAAGATCCAACCTGTTTGCTACAGGACTGTACATGATAGTGAGTGTTCGAATTGTCAAGAGTTTTATAAAATAACTTTGAATTATATATTGCGTGTTGTAGTCTGGCCAGCCACAGATTTTACTTCGAATTATTGAGCGTACCAAAACGTTTTGTTTTAGTTCGAAATATCAAGAGCTTTTCTAGGGATTGAGCATATACTTCGATTAATCGAGAGGTTCTTATTATTAAAGGTTTGAATTATCCAGAGCCGACTGAATATATATATTTGTGTTATTTAAGATTTTTTTTATTTAACACTTCTTTTTCTAAATTATTTTTTTTTTTCGTCCCTGACCCCCTACTAAAAATAATTTTTAAGTATTTATAAGCGAAATTATACCCCGACTTACGCGGTTATCATTCAGTCCCACCTGTCACGTAAGGTAGGGGTATTACTGTATTTCATAAAAATGAAATGTCGAAGTATTTGAAAATTAATATCAAGAGTGTTCAGTTGCTGACCCCTGGTGTCAAGAATCATACAGACCAGAGGTTCCCAAACTTTTTTGTCTCATAGACCCCTTGCCATGTTTTTTGGATTGAGATAGACCCCCCTGCATAATTAATATTAAATTTTTGAAAATTTACTAACTTAAATGTCTTTTTGACAGCTGGTACTACTACTTTGAATGAATTAAATTTCTAACTGTAATGAAGTATAGTGATTAAAATTTAAAAAGCACATGTTAGCACAAAAGTTAACGAAAACATAAATTAACTGTTAAATAAAATAAACAACAAAAGAATGATTTTAAAGGGAGGGATGAATCTGGTGCTGCAATAACAATTTTTAACATTTGGTATCAATATTATCAGGTTTATCCTTAAATCTCCTCTATTAGTAGTGTTTCAGTGTTTCTAACTTTCTTTTTTTGTTTTGAGGATTCGCAACCGTGCTGAAGCTCCTTCTCAGCAGGAAAAGCAACTAAAAATGTCCTCACAATATTCCATAATTCGGGACAAATAATAGATTTGCCTTTTTAAAGCCAAAATTGCTGATATCCATTTCCTAACTTTAAGATCTTGTTAGTGCTTATTACGACCAGTCCCTATTGTAATGGGGCAGTTTTTTTTCAATACGACCATATGAATTCATTGCCTACTGTCGTATTACCATAGTCAAAGCATATCAAATCTAATTTCAAAATCTGAAAAAAGGCATTTAATGTTGAGCATAGGTTAAAACGTCCTGACAGTTTGTCTGTGACATACTGAGAAAATTCGGGACCTCCAGTATTATACTTCTTTAGCTTAACTCCGGAAAGAAATGATGAAATGGTTCTTGTTTTAATAAAATTTATGCTGTCACCTTGTAAGTGCAAATTAACCCTATTAAATTTAGTAAATATATCTGTTAAATAGGTAAAATTTTGTTTCCACTTGATTAAATTTTCTTTTAAAGTCGCGATCTAGTTTATATAATAAGAGCCACTATCATAGACCCCCATTTACACCTCATGGGCCCCCAAATTATTTTTTTGCTGATGTGGACCCCTTGCAGGTTGTCATAGACCCCTGGGGGTCTATATAGACCACTTTGGGAATCACTGATACAGACCAATTGCTATAATGACTCAAGTTTTTTTTTTTTAATTTTTCAGGTCTAACAATTCAAATCCTAAAAAAATTTAAGAAAATTTACATTTATTGCAATTTTTTTAAAATGTTAAGAATATTTTTTTTAAAAAAATTTCCAGTTTTTAAATTTTTTACTAGGATAAATATTTAAAGTTTTGGGTTATTTAAAATGAAGAAATAAGAAATTAATTTCGCCTTTCATTTTAATATTGAATTTAAAATCTATTTCTAAAAAATATGCTTTAAATTAAAATACAATTAGCCGTTTTTTAATGATAACCAAAAATTTATTTTAAAAAAAATTGCGTCTTCAATATTTTGACTCGGAATAACAGTTATTAAATTTATTTTTGCCTTTGATTTGTTATTTAAATCTGTAAGCTTGATTGCATTGTGTTAATAAATCTCATGGAATGTATATCAGGCTATGCATATATTTATATTCGATTCGAAACTCCATTTTTTTAAAATTGTGCAAGTCTTTCTTCATCTGCAACACATGCATTCCTAAACATATATTTCAAGTTAAAAAGAATACTTTAATAACTGTATTGTCAGAAATTTCAAAAATGCCTTTTGTATTAGTTTTTCCTCACTCAATTTTGATGCAATAAGATGTCACGGCCGCGTTTCTCAATATAGCTTCAGAGATTTCCATCGCTATGATTGATGTCTGATAAATTAGGTTCTCCCTGATAGTCCGGCCAGCTTGGGAATCGATTTGACGTTGCCATGGCTACCTGACGTCATAAAATTCAGCAAGCATGCCGGGAAATCTCTTTTAAGAAACTCTGATAGAGAGAGATCTTCAACTTGGCGAATAAATCTCTTTGCAGTATTTATTTTTGGAATCCTTCGTGTGTGATGTACACTTTTTTTTTTTTTAGAAAAGGGAACTGCTACAATTATCTTTGTAAAAATATTCGAAGCATATTGAAAAAATGAAATTTATGCAACGAAATGTTTTCACTTGCGATAAGAATTTAGAAATATGTCGTCAGAAGGCTTTTAAAAACTTTATTAAGTTGCGAAACAAAATTAAATTTCAAATAACTAAAATACTATGCTATTTTAAAAAAATTGAAAATATAGTTATGGGCAAAAATTTACGAAAAAAGGTCGTTTTTTTAAAAGTAATGATTATTTTATATAAAAAAGTGAAATATAACTTTAAAAAGAAAAATGAACTAGTCTCTCTTCTCAAATAATATGAATAGAACTCTTCTTTTATTTCAAATGGGTCTGTGGAATGGTAATTACCGTTGCATATCTAGTACATTCCCCGGGAGCTGGTATCACTTTTAAGGGAAAACTCACATAAGTGGATACCATTTCCATAAAAGTAATTTTGACGGCCAGTTTCCTCCCCAGAGGGTGGCACCTGAGCTTTGACGATGCGAACTTGTACTGGGAATTTAATTTTGTCAAGAGCACCTAAGCCAAACAGGCACTCTGAAAATCTTTAACATGCCGTTTATCATACGACATGGATGACGTCGATCTTTTTGATTACGAAAATCCACCGACTTGGGTCGGGTTCGAATCCGCAAACTTGGGCGTGCAAGGCCAGCAAAAAGTGCCAACGGCACGCTGTGTTCCCAGGTGGTTAACCTCCCAAGTACTGACCATACCCGATGATACTTAACTTAAGTGATCGGACGAGAACCGTTGTTTTCAGCACATTGTGGCCGTTGGCAAACTCTAAACTATACCGATCGAATTTTTTCACACCCTTAGATTGCCTCTTCTACTTATACACAAACTTTTTAAAACCCTTTTTTCCCTACAGGAAAACATCTAATTTAAAATTTTTACAAAATATTTAATATTGTATTAAGTAAAATACCTTTTCAGACCCCTACAAAGGTGCTGAGGACCCCCGGGGTCCGCGGACCACTCTTTAAGAGCCGCTGCACTAGACCAGATGGTCAACAATTTTGCCATCTCAAAAAAGAGCTCTAGTTCTGCTTCCGACAGTGGCAGAATCGTACGGAGTCTAAGATGGCTATTTTGAAAGAGATTAGTATAAGGTTATGCAGAATTTGAATAGAGTACTCTTTTATAAATGAAGGCTGGGTATTTTAAAACACTCTTCAGGTCATGGAAGGGGTTTCGTAAACGGTAAAATCTCCGAAACAAGTAATTTAAAAAAAAAAAATTTAAGTTAATTCCTCCTTAGGTCAACAAAGAAAATTTTTATTTTTTAGTTACTTTTTATCAAAAAATTACAATTAATATAAATATGTATATTCATATGACAAAATCAGAATATTAAGCGGCAAAATAGAAAACGGTTTTCCTTGCAGTTTTCCATTTTCCATTCTATATAAGGTTTTGGACTATTTTTTTTTCTCTCGTTTGTTACTGTTTATTCATTCATTAAATTTAATTATTCTAATAAAATAGTATAGTAAAAAGAAATCACATTCTCAGAAATTAGGCCATTCCAGGTGGGATTCGAGCCCACGACCTTTGGATTAGAAGTCTAATGCGTGATCCATTGCGCTACAGGGTCACAAAGAGCGATTTTCTTCTTTATATATGGTGTTGGACTATTATTCTTGTTTACTATTGATTCATTAATTAAATTTAATTAGTGAATTAATATTTGAAAAAACTGTATTAACATCAAGTGCCATCCACTACAAGTTTAGAAAAATGTATTTGAACTTGAGTGGATACATAAAACGTATTTTATTAATGACTGAAAATTTGAACAAGATATATACATGTATATAGGGAGAGTGTGAAGTAATAGTAGGAATTTAAAAAATGATTTCACTTTAATTGTGAAAAAAGTTCTAAAGCAAAGGACATTGAGAATTTTCATTCTACAGCTACATGTGGGTTGTTGGGGACATACTTTTAAAACATGATCGAGTCACGTTGTCGTCTAGTGGTTTTGGTCATGGATTCGTGGTGGAGGTCTTATGAGTTTGAACTGCAATGCCACTCAAGACCCGCCGTGTAGGGAGGCTGATGCATGCTAAAGCTGTTGAGGCTCGAGTGAGAGAATATTAACGTCGCACTGATTAGCAACACGAGGGCTTTTGGCGACGGTCCGCGTAATTTTGAACCATGGTCAAGTGACGCGGACGACACCTGATCTGGAACCCCCCTCTCCTAACTACCACACCAACGGGAGGACGTTTGAGCTCTCGACAGATTTAACGTGCATCGCTCCCCTACACGACGGACTTTAGTGGTACTAGGATCGAACCCATGACATGCTAGCCATGATCCGATGCCTAGACCACTCGGCCATTGCGGCCTCTGTTGAGGCTCAAAGTACTCCCACTGAGGTGGTGTGGAAGTTCAAAGAGGAAGATGTCAATTCAGGCGTCGTTCTTGTTATTTGAACATGGTTAAAAAACGAGATCTGTCGTAGTGAGGGAGTGAATATTAACGTCCCACTGTTCAGCTACACTATGGCTTTTGGCGACGGACCTCGTAATTTCGAACCATGGTCAAATAACGAGCACGACACCTGAGTTGGCACTCCCTCTCCTAACTATCACACCACACCAACGGGAGGAAGTTTGAGCTCTCGACAGATTTAACGTACATCACTACCCTATACGGTGAGTCTTTTGTGGTACTGGGCTCGAACTCATGACAAGCTAGTCCACTGGGCTTCCGCGGCCACTAGAGCTCGGTAATATATAAAACGCACTCTCCCATCTGATGAATAATTTAAGCTATGACTATGTTCCAAACCATAATTTTGCCTTTTTTTTTTTATTTAATTATTTTTGATATTTGGTATCACTTGAAATAGAATAAACATATAAAGTTTTCTTAAGAATATTGCAATAAAAATTTAAATGCAATTTTTTGGCAAAAAATGAAGAAAAAATTATATATTTTCAGAACATTTGCTTTTTATGTAAAATGCTTCTATGATAATATTTTGGCCCTATATAGCTAGGACTTCTCTAGAGGTCCTGGGCTAGGATTTTTGAAATACACAATTTAGGAGTGGATTTATTCATATATTAATGCATTAGAGTAGAGAAATTTTAACAAAAAACACTGGTTATTATTTCATTTGATCGTGTAACTCTGAAAATAACGTGAATTTTTCAAAACTCTTTCTTCAGACACTATAGACGAGTCTTAGCTCAATATATTTAAAATACACTCATGGACAAAAAAATTAGCGCTCCAAGAAAGAATCGCGAGATCGTAACGAAACTTGGCATGAAGGTACGTGTTGAGGAGATATGCAAATTATTAGAAATGCAGCGTGATTGCGCATTACGTATAGCCGGTAGAAGGCGTTTAAAGTCGTTTTCCGTGGAATATAAAACAGGTAACCAAAGCTTGTTTGAGTGTGCTGAATCGTTTACAAAGGAAGGGCTGAGGTAGACATGCCATTACGCCGTTTTCGAAGCCAATATGAGCAGCAGTCGTAGTTTGAGAAGGGGGGAATCATCGGCATGATGGAAGCTGGAGGATCAGCTAGGCGAGTAGCTCGTCAATTAGGCCTCTCTGGTTAGGTTGTGAGGAGATGTTGGAACCAGTAGATCCGACAGACGTCATTTACACGAAGATCAGGCTCAGGACGCCCTCGACAGACCAGTCGTCGAGAAGACCGCCACATCGTAAGAATTGCAGGTGTAAAGCCAACTGCTTCATCGGCCGCCATCCAGGCACAGGTAACACCTTCACTAGGGTCCCCTATATCTTCAAGAACCATACGAAGGCGCCTGGCTGAACGACATTTGGGATCGTGGTGTCCATTATGTGTGCTGCTCTTGACACCCACTCATCGACGCCTCCGTTTGGAGTGGTGCCGCACACGAGGAAACTGGATTGCAGCGGAATGGAACTGGGTTGTCTTTAGCGATGAATCCAGGTTCAATCTCAGCAGTGATGACAATCGCTTTCATGTGAGGAGACCCCGTGATGAACTCCTCGATCCTGCCTTTGCTTTACAGCGACATACTGCTCCCACAGCTGGTGTGATGATATGGGGTGCCATTGCCTTACTTACTTACTCGACAGCCCAGGGGTATGTCCATGACATCATGCAATCACATGTGTTGCCACTCATGCAACGGCTCCCACGAACCATTTTTCTACAAGGCAATGCTTGGCCTCACACAGCAAGGGTGTCACAAGACTGTCTTTGCACTTTTACTACCCTTCCTTGGCCTGCCTGATCCCCAGATTTGTCTCCAACTGTGAATATCTGGGATCATTTGAGACGGTGAGTTGGGCATCCCACGAGTTTGAGCGATCTAGAGGTAAGGTTACAGCAAATATAGAACGAAATGTTTCAAGACATCATACAGAACTTGTATGCCTCAAAGCCCGATCGTATCGCATCGTGCATTCGTGCTAGAGAGGGTTCAAAAAGGTATTAAATCCTCCGTTCTTTTACCTTTTTCTCTGAAATAAGTAATCCCTTTTCTTTGATTTTCTAATCATTTATTTACATCAAAGTAGTCATTACGTATGTAAAATTTCGTTAAATATTGATGACTCCTTCTTGGTGCGCTAATTTTTTTGTCTATGAGTGTATTAATATAGAAGCATTTTCTATAAAAAGAAAATGTTTCGAAGAAATAATTTTGTCTTTATTTTTTTTACTAAAGTGCATTTAAATAATTTTTTTATTTTAATATTCTTAAAATAAAATTTATAAGTATTTTAATTCAATTAACATTAAATACAAAATTTATTCATTCAGACGCGCTTGCAAAATTACGGTTCCGAACGTATATAGTCGGTCACCTTAAAAGAAGAGTTTTAGTTTCTGTAATTATATCGATTTATAAAAAATTTAGACTTTCAAGTCTTTTTAATAACCATCACTAAAGAGCATAAGCACATTCCTTATATAAAAAGAATTAGTATAAATTTCTATGACGAAGTAAAATGAAATTCTTGGTCATTCCCCGGACTTTACTTCAGTTTCGCGTGTAGCTTATAATAGAATATCTTTCTCAATCGAACATTTCCATTGTTTTTTTCACACGCGTTTGCTCTTAACGAGCCAACTTGGCGATTCATTTTGCGAGCTATTTAATTACTTGGCAACCCTAGTCCTATCCGGCCGCGGACCAAACGCCGGCTCGCTAGCGAGACAGAAAATGCGAGTGAATGTCGCGGAAAAGCCGAAGATCAAAATGACCTCGCAAAATCACACCATGCTTCAACAATGCAGGACTAAATAATTGTTCCCAATGATGTTCGTGGCGGGCTGGGCCCTACTGGTCCTGACTGTGCTGGTGCGGCCCAGCGAGAATGCTGTGCCCCCGAGAATCCAAGCGGAGATACCGATGCCCAAGGTACCTGAAGAAAAGGATCTATATATCGGAGCGATCTTTCCGATCAACGGGACGGGGGGTTGGCTGGGGGGCCAGGGATGTCTGCCAGCGGCCCTCATGGCCCTGGAAGATGTCAATGCTGAACCCAATTTGTTGCCCGGGTACAAGATGAAGATGCCTTACAATGACAGTCAGGTGAGTGGGGTTGCAGTTTTAATACGGTCGAAGAAAAAGTGTTTTTCCAATTTGTGAGATTTTTTCCTCCAAATATATTTTTCTATATGCTTTTATTTTTATTTGAATTAAATTGGAATTTCTTAATCATTTAACCTGTTCAAAGATGTTTTCATGCAAAAAAAAAAAAAAAAAAATCATTGACTACTCAGAAGGAAACTTAGGGAATTTTATAAAAATTAA